CACACACACACACACACACACACACACACAAGCTAACCGAACTACATTGCATCCTAATCAAGCATAGACCTTTAATGAAGCTTGGTTAAATTGGGCGATTAATTAAGATATTATAACCAAATCGTGTTTAGTTGACTTGGAAGAAAAACAAATAATGGGACAAAGCCAAATGTTGTTCAGAGGGCTGTGTATTTCCTATATTATATTATATATATATATTATAGATTTAAAAATGGCAACAATTCTGCTTTCAGATTTTTAGAAACGGCTACTAAATCTACTACATCTGACAATTTGTCTCATCCTGAATGTTGCAGTGTTGATAAGACAGCAGCATTCCTCTTTTTAAGTAAAGTGACAGTATTATAACTTCTGACAAATATGAGCTTCAAACACAAGCCCCCGCAGGCATCAGTGTAACTTATGAAGTGCAGCTTACCACCCTGAGCCCCGAACTCATTTCCAGACGGCCAAAACAGCTCGGTATGAAATCCCTCTGTCGCCTCGTAGTCCCTGCGATCATTCAACACCAAATCAGGGTGTCAACGAGCATTCCCAAACGCCGTTACAAAGACAGGAATACCTCTCCCGCGTCCGCATCATCCAGGCCGGTGGAAGGCGCGCAGAGAGTCTGAACATACCAGAGATGGAAGCAGGTAAAGGTTTGGTGCGCTGAAAGTGTCCCGTTACAGCTCGGTTAGTGGTGCTGCAGGAGGAGGAGGAGGAGGAGGAGGAGCAGGGGAGGGGGGAGTCGGAGCCGTGGTGCGCAACAGAGGAGACTCCCGGTACCCAAGTTCAGGCGTAAAGGTAAAGACAGGCGCAATAGTGACCGGGAGCAGGGTATATGAGCTCCCGAGTAGAGACATTAAAGACATTTTACCAGAACTGTAGGGGGAGTGTGGTTCTCAGTGTTCACGCGACATCTCTCCCTTCCCTCTTAGATAATATAAAATTCAAGGACACTGAGGAGACGCTCTCATCCATGTTTCCTACCCTGATCGCTTTACGCGCAACAGGGGGCGCGGTTACCTCCCAAATATACCTTCACTCACTAAAGCTTGGTTCGGAATGGGCTGGGAAAGCACCAACTCAGAGTCAAAATTGAACAAACAGTTCAGAATGATTTCATAACACTGTCATGATGCTTACAGAAATGATTGCAAAGACAAACTGAAAATGGCGAAATAATGTAGTTAAAGAAAACATCATAAACCAGGATAATGTGATTTATTGCAGTGGCTCCCAACCTTTTTCTTAAGGGACCCATTTTCTATCATTGAGTAAACTGATGACCCCCTGCTTATGTTATGGATATTTCATATTATATTCAAAACTGTAAAATGAACCCAAATAGTGACCTCAGTAAGAAGTTTGTGTAAAACAAGTGATTTGGATCAATTTAGATGTTTAACAATTATACATACCTAATAGGCAAAGTCCATGTTTTCTTCTCCCTGATGCTTGGATATTGTTCTATTAGACAATTTACACAAAATGCTTAAATATAGACTTACGGTGTGGTATATTTTCTAAGCTTTCTAGCACGCCTTAAAATCAAGAAGGTCTAGTAGGGGTTGGGAACCACTGATTTATTGTATCTAAAAAGTGAATATCTTTATGCGCCCGGTTAATGTCTGGTATTCATTTTCTGGACTCTGGTAAGATTTGTTCAATGTGCAGTCTAAACAATAGAGTATAGAAAATAAGTTCCAAACTTTAGTTTTCCGTCCTTTTTACTGGAAACTGCACAATACTATAAACAGAAATGTTTTTGTGAATGTGGATGATGCACGAAGACTGAGTTGGCTGCATACATGTGACACAATTACTTGGAGAAAGCTTGGGGCTGAGAAAAACTTAAAGAGAAACTTTTAGCTTGACGCAATTTTTATATAGAGGTTATTTGAAAGAATATATAAGTACTTATAATGTTGTAACTGATGTCCTTTTTTTATGTCCTTTTTTGTTCTTTTGCTGTTATATATGTTCACCGGAAGATGTCTGTTATGTGTAACAACGGTATCTTGAAATCCCATGTGAGATGAACACAATATTGTGCATGACAGAAATAAAAACTAATGCCACAGATAGAGAAGAAGATCTCTCTCCCACAGTAGTAGGGAAAGCAGTGATATATCTAAGTGACACTGAACAGCTGGCCAAATGTTTAGCTGTGTCATGAGTAAATAGACCCCAGTGTTCAGTTTGAAAACCCTGACTGTTCCAGATCAACACATGCTGTATCGTCCCTACCTCTGCAACGCTGAAACCAAATTTGCACAAGGTGAAAGTTCATAGAAAAAATATCATTATGCTTGTAGATTTGTCTGCGTCGCTGGCCTCACACACCCACTTTGTCCTTGAGAGGAAGCTCATTAGGTTGCATGCGCCTGAGGGAACTGCTAAAACAAGCAAACACTTTGTCCAGGCCCTTATGGCTGCTAACCGTGCAGACAACACATTAGCAAGGGTAGAGATGGAAACTGAAGAGGTGGGGGTCTCTCTCTCTCTCTCTCTCTCTGTGTGTGTGTGTGTGTGTGTGTGTGTGGAGAAGAGACGTTCAGCTTATTGAATCCCTCCATCACTATTCATTAACCTGCAGTGCAGCATATGCCCAGGGCTGCAACATGAGACTGATCACACACATTGGACTATAAGTTCCCAGTCAGCCTTTTTATTTTTTCTAACAGAGTAGACGACATTTCAGTCGCGGCTGAATGGATTAGGTGCCCTGCAATCTGCCTCACTGAGACAGTAATGCAATATTCCCTTTTAATTCTGTCTGTCATTTTCTTATGCTTTGTCACACACATGCAGACAGACAGAAAGGAACACTCATACACCCACAGAGAGGTTTTTCAGCCTGGATTTTGCACAGGTGGTAGACAGAGAACACCCGAGTCCTCCAACATTAAACCGCCTAACTTGTTTATGTGCTGCACCACCCCCCCAGCACACACTCTGTGTCTCTGCCTCATTGTTTTTTATTAATCTCTCACACACACCAATACAGTATACCTGCAGCTGCCCACCATCCATCTCACACAAACCCCCATTCAATACGCCAGAAGCCGGGACACACATACACAGCAGAAAACACCAAGATAGCTGAAGCCCTGTCGGTACTAATAGCAAGCCTCAGTCTGGCGGATTAAGAGTTTAATCCCTCACAGGCAAGAGGGGCTGAGATGAGATCGCAGCAGCCGGCGTGCTGCGGTCCGATGAGCAGTGGTGTGAGGTGCGTGCAGGAGAAGAGAAATGAGTCACTCAGCTATTTAAAAACTCTTTGAACAAACACTTTCACACCGATGGCCACCCGAAGGTCCCACCATATGGTCCTGTCCAACTTTCCCTCCCCTTCACCTCAAAACTACCTTTTCTACCTCTCCTCTGATTTCCCAGTGTCTCTTCTCTCCTTCATTCTCCTACCGCCCACCGCTGGCTGCTGAAATTTGTTTGATCTTAGCACCAGGAAGTTTTGATCAGGTTAATTGCTCTCTCAGCGGACAGCGTGAATAGAGAGATTATCACTCGGTGCCCAGGATGTAATAAAGAGCAAGGAGAGGAGAGAAGGGGACAGAATCAGAAGAATGGAATAGAGGAGGTGAAGAAGATGAGGGAAGACATTTGATGGGGAAAAGAGAGGGAAAGGGTGGACACAGGGGGAATCATCTTTTATAGGGCAGGAAAAGAGGCAGTGAAGTGGGATTAAAGGAGAGGACAGGTTGATGAAACACCAGGCTGATATGCGAAGACAGCATCTATGTTGGGTCTGTTTCAATTAGTGTCTCTGACAAATAGGTTCATATGAGATAATAATGTTGTTTTCTTTTTAAACATCCAAACTGCCTTCCGTGTTTTGCCTGAAACTGTCTCTGCAGACCAAAGAATTTGAAAGCATAAACAAATCCTTTGGTTTACATGAAACTCAACACAGTCAGGCAAAACTGCAAAAGCATAAACACTCACATACAGTATCTGAGGCTGGATGAATGAGGACTCACAGCAACAGTGACATGTACGCAACTTTTAACGCAGTTTAGCTCCAATGACCTTGTCAAATAGCTCAAAGACACAGTGTAACTGGCAGATCTTGGTATAATGGGCGTTCCTGTAATGGATAAACAGACAGATTAACAATGATGTTTAGAGCTGCTTCAAACATCACCTGACTGGAATTGAAACAGGATTGCCAAGAAAAATAACAAGTCTACAGCCATATTGCACCTGCTAACATCAGCATGCTAGTATTATCACAATGATAATGGTAGCATGTGATAGCATGTTCACCATCTTAGTTTATTTTGTACTAACACTAATTAACATTAAACACAAAGTAAAGCTGAGGCTGATGGGAATGTCATTAGTTGTATTTGGTGTTTAGTTAAAATATATAAATATTGGACTAATTTAAAATGTATACCTGATAATGGGATAATAATAAACGTCAGGGGATCAAAGTGATTAAAATTCATCCTCCGGTAACCATGGATACCACCTGTACCAGATTTTGTACCAATCCATTCAGAAAGGGTTTTCAGTTCAGGGTAAATGAAAACTAACATGTTGCTACTTATAAAATGGTACATCCGGGCCCCACCCAAATGCCAAACAAATAACTTCTCTGAGCTCCTCCCCCTGGAGGAGGTTGTCATCGTCTTAAAGGTGTACAGTAGCAGGGAGAGGCTAGTTTAGTTACACAAATCAACAGATTAAACTGCTGTTTGTTCTTATAAGTCCATTCAGTGTATGAAGAAAAACACAGGCTATAACACTGCAATTCCTATTAGTGCATTTGCCAACATATGCACTGATATATATGTGATAGGCCAATATGGGTTAATAATATTGGCCTGCTGATAGATCGGTTGGCCCTTATCCTGTCAATGAGTCACTAACTGTGTAAAAAGTTGTTTACACAACAGTTGGCACACACCTCTTATCATAACCACTGTTAAGGAAAACTTTGTCATTCAGTCTCTCACTTATACTGAGAAGATCATCTTGTTGTACATTTGTTATCATCAAAAAGTATTACTATTATTATTATGGCTCCTAATGTGGTCGTGCATCCTAAACAACCATACTTTGGTGTTCCGCTGTTTTTGCTGTTTAGCAGTGTGGTTGGTGGACTGGTCCAATTGTTTGGGCCCAATAAGGAAGAAACTGATGCAAGAGCAAAGCAGATGGCGCTCTTCATGAAACAGGTAAGAGATTGAAATATGAATTGTTTTCTGCACATATTCTAAACAATTTAATGTAGTAGATCAAAATACATGTAAATCACAATAGTAAAAAAATACATGTATGTTTGATCAACTGTTACAATATAAGCATTGAAGCATAAAACATTATACTGTGTATAGTATATAAGTCTGGCTAAAGCAACTGTTGTAATTTCACTGTAAAAAGAAAGTATAAAGGTGAGAAATAGTTACTTCCTCCTTCAGGTTCAGTGTAATCTGATAATCCAGCCTTGTGCAGTATGTATAAGCCAGTTCCCCTAAATTAAGTTTTCATATCTGTGCACCCAACCCCACCAGACCATCTCCCAGGCTTTCTCTCAGACTCTGGATCTTGGGGCAGGAGGTTTTGCCAGTGGTCTGAACGTGCTCTTACAACATGCCACGCTCTTCCTGCAGGCTGCTGGAATCCAAGGTAAAGAGAATTTTGAATAATTTCTAATGAATCACATTATAATCAGAGAATGTGTCACTGTAACAGTTGATGGGATACCACACCACTAAAGTATTTAAGTACTTAACGCACGTCCTGCAATATTTTCTATTTGTGTGGCACTGTCTTTGCATTGTATCAAAATCTACTTTCATTATTTTAATTGATGCTGTGATCACAGGTTGCATGTTCATAGATAGAGTTGGGTTTCATCATATTATCACAAGTAACACAAATTAAGTACTGGAGGAGGAGTACTGGTTGTGCATTGTCCATGCACACTTACACTCACTTAAAGTTCATTAACCCCATTACAGAAGGTGACACTGGAACTGATTACTGGTTAATCTGACCATGGTCTCCTGGCCCATTATATACCTGTTTTAGTACATATTTTAGTACATGAAAAAGTCCTTTTCAATACATAGTACAGTGCTTGTGTACTTTTTGAGAGTGTATGCAGATATACCTACAGAGAAGACAGAAAGTATTGGGACAATGATACATTTCTTATAGTGCATCCAATGTATGAACAACCTCAAACATAAAGGTGGAAATTAGTATTTTAACCCTAATGAAGCCTCACTGTTTTCTTCATTCTGAAAGACAGAACCAACAATGAAAAACACCACTGTCCAAATACTTTATGACTGCACTACAGTTTAACTAAACTTTCATATATTTTTTAGGGGAACCTTAAAGTAAATTTCCTTAAAAATCCCCACCCATTAGATGCAATGCAAATTCTGCTAAGGTAACCCTCAGTTTGCACAGAAGAGTGTTAAAGTTAGGAGCATATACAGTCACTAATTAAATGTTTTATTTTGTATGAAATCCTGTGGGACCTTTTATATGTACCAATTTGTTTTAATAATCTGAAATTAAAATGTTTTTGCTATAAAAAATACCAACTATCTGATGTTGAAAAAACCTGAGTCACCCATCCTTGCCTTAGTTTCTCCGATTTGATTTCATTAAAGTGTGTTTCTTGCAGCATTGCCAAGTTGCAGGAAAATTATTTCAGATGCAGGGTTTTACTTTACTTGAAATCCCCTTTAGATTCCAGCTAATGAACATCTCACATATCTCCACAGTTGGCCTTCCTGTCAACAACGTGACGCCAGAAGGAGTCATCTCCGTCGCGCAGTGGGTTCTTGTACTTCTCATTTGCTATGGGATGATAACCATTGCCTTTCTATTGGTCACCTTCCTTCTGAGGTGGTTGTGGCGGCTACTGAAAGTGGGAGTGGCTTTGGCCTGTTTTGGACTAATCCTGAATGACCACAGTGTTGGCAAAGAAACCGTGGCAATTAGACTGGTGTGCTTAGGGTGCGTCTGCATCATATTGAGCATCAGACCACGGAAGGACTGGACCATGGCTGCTAGAAATGTTAATCCAGAACAGCAGGTGAAGCTCTTGGAAAATCGAGTGAGAGAGATGGAGAAATGGAGAAAAAGATGTGTTATTTTGTCTTGTTGTCTGATAGGTCTTTTGTGCTTTGTGGTCTTTGTAGTCTTTAGAGTTTATACTGTCATATCTAATTCAAAAGCATTGTAAGTACTATTCTCTATGTAGGCATAGTGGACCTTCATGGATGAAAAGTGAATGAATTTCTTACAGTCAGTAGTGTGGGGATCAAAAGATAAAGAAATACTTGTTCTTCTTTCTTTAGCTTCTATTCTGTTGGTTGATTTTGGGTCATCATTTGACTGAGATAATAATATAGAGAAGGAGATTCACAATTTTTCAAGTCTGTCTTAAAACAATAGTCCGGTACCCATATGAACAGTGACAAAGGTTTTGGATTTACTGGCCATAAAGAGATCCCTTCCTTTAGAATTTCCAATGCAAGTGATTGGGGAAAAATCCACACTCCAAAGTTTATCTGAAGTTCTGACATATCTGAAGTTAATTTAACCTTTTAGCAGTCTTGAGTTAGACAAGTCGAGTAGGTATCTTCCAAAGTTATAGTCTTTTCAGCACAAAATTCCCTCTTTGTGTCACTGTCTCACCACTGCAGCTAACCAAGCAAACACTGAAAAGGGAATTCTATACTAAAAAGACTATGGTATGGCTTCTGGTATGGCGATGAGCTGAGCTAACACGAGGAAAGCAGCTCCCTAGTTAACGAATTTAAAGTGCATATTTCACTTCTGATAACATACATTTTTCGCTTTAAAAATATTGCCTCTTTAAAATGTCTGGAAAGGGCAAGACTAACAATTCAAAGAACATTCTGGCCATGGCAAAAACTAGCGATGGTGGCCACTGGAGAAATGTTAACCATCTCTTCGTACCAACTGAGCAGTAAAAAATCATGTATAGTGTTGGCTAAAGTGACTAAAATGACTGTGGCCCACAGAGCTGGACTTGAATGCTGTAAGAAAGAAAGTTTAAGCCTATGCCATTGGTTATACAGGAAACTTTGGAAACTCTGTCATTTCACAGTGACACAGTGAAGAAGAAGATAATGATTTTTTGAAAGCCAACGCCGATGACTTGATGAGAAAATCACTCACACAGCAACAGAGCGCTGGTGGAAAATTTTGGGAGACTACTGTGGGTGGACAGGGCATATTGAACCCTGCAACGTCAGAGGCCAGTTCTCTTATGCTTTGTGAAATATCAAGACAAGTTTGGTCATGGAATTATCCAGGAAACGAGGCCAGCTCATGTGGCGAGCTAACAAGAGCTTTATCTTCACTGATTTGAGCAACCAACTCGCAAAAGAAGCACGCCATATGAAAGGCAATTAAATCTCCAAACTCCATAAGACGAACATTGAGTTTACACTTCGCTACCCAGCCAAACTTTGAGTCTGCTTTTAGGACAACAAGGGCAAATTCAGCTCGGCAGCTGAACCCGAAGCTTTCTTCCTTCAGCACATAAAGTGAACTGACTGTCTACAGTTGCTGTGAATATGCAAAACATCTTATGCTGGGGGAAAGAGCTTAATACCCCATCTGATTTCATTTTCTATTCACTAGCTACGTTATAATTTTGTTCAAAACGTTCCGTGGCTGGAGAGCGTTCTGCTGTACAAGAGCAGGTTTTAGAGACAAATGGTAAAATGTGTATTTTCATTGCCTTGTACACATTTTAAATTTTGAATACGTCCACAGTAAAAAAACTAAAATAAAATAAAAAATCTAAAAACAAAACAAGGCTGCACTTATCTTCATTGATAACGTTGGAACATATTTCTGCACGGAACAAGGATTGTGAATTTTGTGCTCATCATTCCCATTGAAAGTGCATTTAGGGATGTATTAAGGTTAATATAAACAGGAGAAATAATTACAGTATGCAACTCCTACAGCACCTGACAATGATATTGTAATAAAAATGTGACTTCCCACAGGTATTGAGATGGATATCAGTTGCATGTCTGTGTGTCCTATGCACATGTCCACATAATGAACTAAACTTTTATTAAACTAAATTTGAAATTATCTTAGATTGACTAACTACTTTTCTTACAGCTTAACCCCAAAATCACAAATCTGGGTCAAAATGTTTTATGGTTCAGGTATATGTCTTCTTCTATGAATTTCTTAATACAAAAACTGGCAAATTCCCTCCAAAGCTAAAATGGAATACAAGACAAGTTTAACCCAAATCTGATGGAGGAAGCCTGCTGACTCAAGCAGTAGACTCATCGCTCGCACTCATCCCACACTCATTTACTGGCTTTGAAAGGTTAATGTTGGAATCTTTTGTAATAGCTTAGCCGGCAGTTACTGTTCTTCTTTACTTAATCACTTACTTTAACTATTCACACTAAAAACCTCTAAAAGCCACAGTCGCATTTTAATCCTTGCCTCAGTATTAGTATTAGTTTTGCATCTTATTTTTTTGTATGCAAGACTCTTAAAAAAGGTTTACCCTAAAGAAAAACTAATTTATTAAAGGGGTACTCCAGTGATTTAGTATTGCACTTCCATAAAGTTTTGGAGTTTATGAGAGACAGATTATTTTGTAAAATGGCCAAATCATCGCAGAAGAGGGAAAGATTTTCTGACTTTTTATATCCGGTATGAGTCAAGTTCCAAACTTACTAGAGCCTACATTTCCTATAATGCAACTCAACAGCATCTTTCAAATCATACATTTTGTAGCACAGGTGCACAACTTTTCTGTTCAGTACATATCTTAACATACTGTTCAAGATGATATACCTCTGATAGCATCATCAACTACTAATGCTTGTTCCATTATGTTTTGCCTTCATACGGTATAGTGATAAATAACTCTGGATTTCACGAGTCAGCCTTTCATTATACCATTGAGCAACCTATTATCCTACATTTGCTTACACTGACTAACTGTTAGCTACAGCTATTAGTTAGCCATCTAATTGATCTGATCCAGCAAACTGGAAAAAACAAGAAAGAAATTTCAATATTTGGCCGCCACTGTGCTGGAAAAACGAATTAAAAAACCTTAGCCTTGGACAAAATCCTGGGTTTGCAACATTATCCAGCACTTATGTTTTAATCTGGAGAGTGGGTCAGCTGTTTCTGTGTTCAAACTGGACAAAACTGCATGAAGGGCTGGAGCTACAATAGCAGCATTCTGATAAATAATCATCAGTCTCCTCAGTTTTTATAATGATGAACGAATGCTGATTTACAGAATCCAAATGGCTACTGTTAACGTAAAAATATTCAGGACTGCACACCCTTCAATGAGTTATATCAGCTCCAAATGAGTCAGCGTCATATACGCTGCTCAGGGTGAAATAATTCATATTCAAAGCAGGTTCACAGCGTATCAACAAGGCTCCCTACTGACTTCAAAATCCCTTTCAGCATAAAAGGAATCCTATACAGCAGGCTGCAGGCTACCAGGTGGGCAGCACTGACTGCTGTCTCAGTCTTCTCAGTTTGTCCATTCCTGTCATTCATTTGAATTTCTTCTTTTCATCCTAGTATGATCCCATCTATTTCAAGATTAAAGTTTAACATACTTAAATCTCTCTTCTTCTGGACTCCGCCCATACCATGCATACATACTTTAAGTTCCTCTCCACTCAAAAAGTCTGTTTTCCTACAGTTCAATGTTTGAGCTTCACTGTGCAGAATGATGTATGTGCAGTTTGACACTAAAAAGATCTTTTCACATCTCATCTGCTGAAAGATTCTCTGTGCTCATTAAAAATGAGATTTTAGGGAGCAAGGCCTATGAGCAAGTATTTTGGAATAGTTTGGAAGCCAATCCTGGTCCAGTATGCAACTTATACAAGTGTAATGTAGGAACTCGAAGCCACCGATGCACATACACTAAGAATGAACTTCACAGTGAAGTAGGAGACATCTTGTGTCCAGCAGGAAAACTTTAGAAATGAACACAATTAGCATATTCTTAGATTCTGGAGTAGTTGTCTCTTTAAGGATTTTAAGGTGGAAATTATTCTTATTTTTGCAGAAATGCATTAGACACACATTATTGCTTCAAGCAGACTCTGTATAAATGTCTTAATAGACGTCTGGAGGGGATCTTTAAATTTAGTAAAACAATTTGCTTTGTGAAAGCATTCAGATTCAAACTTGCTGATACGAACTGGAGGGTGGTGCTGACTGTCCTATTTCAGTTCACTTAAAGAAATAAATGGAAATAAAATGAGCAGTCCACCCTCTGCTCCCCTCTCTATCCATCTCAGAGGTCAGGTATCTTTAAGAGGACTGGTCCAAAACTATCAAGCAACCACTGGAAAAACACTCAACACTCAATTTGTGTCTCAGCTTTTGGCTGAAAGCTTTACTGCTGCATTTTATACAAGCCTAAAGATGTGAGAAGCTCTTTACTGAGGCAGGAATAAAGGGAGCTGCCATCACCCAAAAGAGGAGATATAAAAATATATAAATATAAAAAGTTTCTCTACTTCGCCAAGTGAGATTAATGATCTCAGTCTGGAGAGATTCCTCAGCTAAAGAAGGCAAAGTTGAGAAAATACTCTTCATCAAGTCTTGGATTACATTACAATATTACAACTAAATTCCAGACTTCTCAGATCCTAACAAATCACACAAGAGTTATTGCGAACCCAAAGTCAGTCCCACCCAAAGGTGCCTGGATTAAAAGCACTGTTGAAGTACTGTACACATAATCTAAGGGCTTCAATAGATGTTTAGTCAGAGGTTACTTGGAGCGTTTTTCCTCCACACTGCCCTGATTTGATTGTGTAAGTTTCTTTTCTATAACAAGACAAAGGAAACTCAAGCCGGACAACTAGAAAAACGATCCTTGCTGACTCTCATTACACTCTCAAGTTCTCACTCAGGTATGCTTCTCTCCTTCTCTATCTCATTACAGGTAACAGAATACACAGTTTCGTGCCCTGGGATCAAAATAGAGCTCTTGATAGAGTGATAATATCGCTGGCGAGAAGAAGAAGAACCTAATCTCACCAGGTGATCAGCAGTGGCAACCAATTTATCAGCATTACATTAATTGGATAGATATTGATTCTCTTGATTGAGCAGGCTGCATTCATTGGTTTCACTCTGCAGGGCAGCTTGCTGTGGTTCTTACTTAACATTCCCATGCATTTGATTTTCTCGGAGTGCGACTGTGTGTGTGTGTGTGTGTGTGTGTGTGTGTGTGTGTGTGTGTGTGTGTGTGTGTGTGTGTGTGTGTGTGTGTGTGTGTGTTCAGGCACATGTGTGTAAGATGATTTGGTATCGGTGTATATACACAGTCGACAATGCAGATTAATTTGTAACGATACAGTACATTGTGAATCCATACAATTCAATTCAGCTGCAATTCTTTTTCCCTTTTAATTAATAGTAAAAATGTGACAGAAATGTATTTTTATTTATTTTTCCTTTCCAATTCTCAATCAGAAACATCCTCCAAATAAATATGTAATCTGCAACATGACTAATAGTAAACCAGAGCAGTAGTACAGTGGATAACATTATAGTCAGTCCTTTTAGCAGGGGGAAAACACATTAGGGGTGGCTGGAAGTAGCACCAGCATTACTGGCCTTGTGGTGAGCAATGGTGCTCCTGTCAGTAACTTTACTGTCGGTTTTTTAAGGGTGTTTTCGCCTTTATTGGCTGAAGATAGACAGGAAAACATGGAGAGAGAACGGGGATGACACGCAGCAAAGGGCCACAGGTCAGACTCAAACACATGGCCGCTGCAGCTCAAGGCCTCAGCCTTGGTTTAATGCGGCCCCAGCTCTACTACATGAGCTACCCACCACCGTATTTTTGGTTTGTGTAGAAGACACAATTATCCTGTTGATAGTGGATAGCTAGAAGCTGGTTAGGCTATCCATTCAGCACTCAGTATGCTACTCTGTGATTTGGTCACAATCACAAACCTAGAGGAAAAGGCAAAAACTTATTTTTTTTTTTTTTGAATGAGATCACAAACATTCCAGCCTTGAAAGCAAAACATTGTTTTAATTTCCACCTACACTGCATCGCTGTAGAAAATGTAAAATTAATAAATTAACTGCCACACTAAAATCAAATCACAACATTCACAAAAAAGTTAATGGGTGTATTGCATTTCAGTGTTGTCCAGCAGAGGGCAGAATACCTGACCTGACTGCCATTAGTTTCAATGAGGAGATGAGAGGGAGCTTTTTCATTTTTAGACAGACAGGCATCATCAATGGCAAAATTAAAAACAATTAACTATCCAATCACAGCACTGCTGTGCTTTGAAGCTAATTTGACATAGTGGTCAAAGTGTGTCACTACAACTCTGTCATGTAATGCACACCGCACAGAATAAATATATAATAATTTTTAAGCATCGCAGTTTGAAAAGTCTAGAAGAGCTGCACTACTAAATCATTTTATCCTCATTCAGGTTACATCGGAGGGCTAAACCAGAAGTCAACCGAAAGTCTCTCCTATGCGGCGGCACACTCTGGCACTGGGGCCCATTGTACCCGCGCAGTATGCATTCATCCAGGTAATTTCTGTAGGAAATGGCTTTTTTTGGCTTTATGCGCCACTGAGTGGTGGCCGAAGCACGGAGGAACATTCTGAGTGCTCAGGCGACAAATGGGGCGACACACAGGTTTGTGTATGCCACAGACGGAGAGACAGAGAGACTTGAGAGATCGATTTCTGACGGCCATATAGATAT